ATACATAAATGTCATGAAAATTATATAGAAGAAAGAAGAAAGGAGGGAGGGAAAAGAGCCATCTCCTCCTACACTGCACTCTAGAAGTCGGGGGGCACTCAAGAAGTCTGGGTGGATCTCAGCCAGGTGGTGGTGGTGGTGGTGGTGGCGGCGGCAGCAGCACTCGCCTTTAATCCCAGCACTTGGGAGGCGGAGGCAGATGGATCTGTGAGTTTGAGGCCAGCCTGGTCTACAGATTGAGCTCCAGGACAGCCAGAGCTACATAGAAAAACCCTGTCTCAAGAAAGAAAAAGGAGGAAAAGGACGGGGGGGGGGGGGGGGGGGGGGGGGGGGGGGGGGGGGGGATGATGACAAGGGCGAGGAGGAGGAAGAGGAGTAGTCTGGGTGCAGCCTTGAGTTTCTGCTTTTCTAACCTAACACCCATCCTTCCCAGTTCCCAGCTCCATAGTGTTAACAGCACAGTCTCTGAGCAGCTATTCTTAACCTGTGTCTTGTGAACCTCAAAAATTTACACAAGGTGTGCGCTTTTTTATTTCACCTCTTTATTTTACTTATTTGATTTTTCCAATCAGGGTTTCTCTATGCACTCCTAACTGTCCTGGACAAGGCTGGCCTCAAACTCAGAGATCCACCTGCTTCCCTCCTAAATACTGGGATTAAAGATGTGTATCACCGCTGCTACCACCACTCTGCTAATTTCACCTTTCTTTAGCTTTGCCCTTGCAGAGAACCTCAAACTTACAGCTATTCCAAGAATAAAGTAAAAAATCTCCTGTGTCCGTGTGGCCAGATCACCTGTTTGTACTTTACCAAGGCTCTTCAGGAAATTTTCTTCCCATGCAAAGATTCCCATGGAGCCCCCTGAGGCCCTAGGGGATAGTCCTGAGGAACAAGACAGTCTAAGATTGATAAAGTCTATGTACAAGGGATTGGAGAGATGGCTCAGTGGTTAAGAATGTCAGAACACGGTATAGGAATAAAGTGAGTGGAAAATTCTGAGTACAAGAGTCTTGTGGCCTCGGTTTCTTCAAAACATGAAACTGTTCTTAGATGTGTTTTTCTGTTACTCACAGATGTAGTGGATAAGGAGTCAGTTTGCTTCAGAATACTCCTTATTGCTTGCTGGTGTTATTCAATTAAATGTTTAAATTATCCTTTACGTGACTCTATAGAGAAACACATTTCGCCATGTCCTTGTGATTGTATACAGCCTGAACACATGAGGACTTTCAGGTAACCTTTCTTAACTCTCAGGGGATAAATTGTCTGAAGCTCTGAATAAAACTGGCTCCTGAATGAGACTTTAGTCTGCTTCCTTTACTGGCTCCATTCTCCCAGGTCCACCACCTGTAAATAAATCAGTGACAAAGAACAGCGGCTGTTCTTGCACAAGACCTGGGTTCCAGTCCCAGCAAACGTATGGCATTCCAGATCCAGAGGATACAATGCCCTCTTCTGGTCTCCTCGGGCACTGCATGTTCATATATGTTTGCAAAATGCCCATACACATCAAATAACAATAAGTAAGTTGTTTTTCTTTTTCTTTTTCATTTTTTTTTCCACAGACAGGGTTTCTTTGGCTGTCCTGGAACTCACTCTGTAGACCTCGAACTCAGAGATCCGCCTGCCTCAGCCTCCTGTGTGCTGGGATTAAAGGTGTGCACCACCACTGTCCAGCTGGTCTTTTTCTTTAAAGGATGCACACACACTCCCACAGCTGATAGAGTGCTTGCTTAGTATGAACAAACCTCCTGCACCTAGAAAGGCAAATGTGGAGGTACACACTTGTAATCCCAGCACTGTGCACACCAGGCAACCAGAAGAGAGGTCAGATCCCTCAGAGCTAGGGTTACAGGCATTACTTGCAGGCTGGGATCTGATCGCACAGTGTTTCCTAACTGCTGAGCCATCTCTTCAGCCCCAAGACGGGATCTTGTTGGTAGCCCAGATGTCCTCCTACCTAGGTGCTGGGATTGTAAAAGCACATGCCAGTAAGTCCAACAGTAAAGCAATTCTATTTATTTATTTTTGGTTTTTTGAGATAGAATTTCTCTCTGTAGCCTTGGCTATCCTGGAATTCACTCTGAAGACCAGGCTGGCCCCAAAGTCTCAGAGGTCCCCCTGCCTCTGCCTCCTTGAGTGCTGGGATTAAAGGTGTGTTCCACCATGCCAGGGCTCCAGCTTGCCTTTCTTAAGAAATGTTTTATTAGTTAGAAATAGTGACTTATTCCTTTCACCTGAGCATTCAGGAGTCAGAGTGCCCTGTGAGTTTAAGGCCAGCCTGGTATACAGAGTGAGTTCCAGGATAGCCAGAGCTACATAGTGAGATCCTGTCTAGAATAAAAAAGCAAAACAAGTTTTATTATCACTTTTTTCTGAGACAGGGTCTTAGGCGACCCAGGCTAGTCTCAAACTGACCATGTAGCCAAAGATGATCTTGAACTCCTGATCCACCGGTCTCCACTACCTGAGTGTTGGGATTACGTGTGTGAACCACACACTGGTTTGGCTTTATTTTTTGAGACAGGGTTTCTCTGTGTAGCCCTGACCATCGTGGACTATAGACAAGACTATCCTCAAACTCGGGAATTCACTGGTCTCTGCCTCCTGATTGCCTGGGGAAATGGCATGCACCACCACAGCCAGCTTTACAACTGTTTGTTTGTTTGTTTGTTTGTTTGTTTGTGGTGCTGAAGATTGAACCCAGGCTATGACTGGCAAGCCCTCTACCCACTGAACTACATCCCCAGACTGGGTTTTGAAGACCTTTTGTGGGCCAGTACCAGCTTTAACCTAGAAGACCATGAGTGCTAGGAAATAGAACTCTGGTTTTCTTTTTTGTTCTTGTTTTGGTTTGGTTTGGTTTGGTTTTGGTTTTTCCAGTCAGGGTTTATCTTTGTAGCCTGGGCTGTCTTAGACTAGGAGGGCCCGGTCTTGAACTCAGAGAGATCTGCCCATCTCTGCCTCCTGAATACTGGGACTAAAGGCGTGTGCCACTGCGCTGGGCTGGAACTCTGGTTTTCATACTTTGTGGTACACATTTTACTGACTGAGCCATACCATACCCCCTGACCCTGTTTACTTTTGACATGCATCTGGAGCATTGGCTTTGCAGCTCTGAAAGAAACCCTCAGTGGGCAGTGGTGGTGCACGCCTTTCACCCCTGAGCTCAGGAGGCAGAGGCAGGCAGATCTCTGAGTTCAAGGCCAGCCTGCTCTACAGTGGGAGCCCCAGGACAGCTGGGGCTACAGAGAGAACTCCTCTGTCTTGAAATTTAAAACAACAACAACAAAAAACAACCAGCCAACCAAACAAACAAACAAAAACAAAAAATGTGTTACCAAATGCAGAGCCTCTGTATTGTGCTCTGGGTTTATCACTAGAGGGAGCACCTGGTCCACTGACAGGCATATTTACAAAACAGATCCCACCCAAGATGACAAGGGATTCTTGTCTATTTCCTCAGATCAGCTGCAGGTACGGGTGGAAAGACAGTAAGTGACTGCTTGGAGAGACTCAGGATGTCATAGTGCAGGGAACCTTCTAGAATCCACACACAGCATAAAAGGATGCATAGGAAATAGAAGAGGACACAATGCTATTTGTCCGGGATTGCTACATACTTTGAAGATTGCTAATATCCAGGCCCATTCCTGACATCAACTGTTTCCTCTGTCATCAAAAGTCTTCCTCTGAGCTCTTATACAATTTCCTCCCTTGGTTCTTTTAACTCCCAATTCAAATGTCATCTTTTAAAAAAATATTTTATGTGTCTGTGTGGGTACCTGCATGAATGTATGTGTACTATATGTGTGCTGGTACCTGAAGAGGCCAGAGGGTATTGGATCCCTTGGAACTGCAGTTACTGGCAGCTGTGGGCCGCCTGATGTGGCCTCTGCAAGAGCAGTAGGTGTTTTTATTTCCTGAGCATTCTCCAATCCAAAATTACCTTCTCAATGAGATCTACCCTGTTTAAGTCTACAGTACCTTGCCAGCATTCCCAGACCTCTTCAGTGAGCTACAATTTTGACAGCAACTCATACCCTTCACATTAGTTACCTTTCTCACTTATGTGGCAAAATACCAGACAGAAGCAAATTTTTAATGTAGTGCATACATATATGTTCATAATTCTTGTTCCTGTGTCTGTATGAAGGCTTATATATGCGCATTCTGTGTGTCACTTCTCATGTACAGCTTCTGTGAGGGAGGGTCGCCTCTTTGCTGCTGCATGCACCAGGCCAGCTGCCCTCCCAGCTTCTGGGGCTCTCCTATTCTCCCCTGGGATTATGGATACATACTACTGTACGTGGCTTCTAGATGGATTCCATGAACTTTAGATCAACTCACTCTTGCAAGGCAAGTACTTTATCCCTCATCTTGTTTGAGACAGAGCGTCTTGTAGCACAGACTGGTGGACTGTTGGCAGGCCCTCTACCACTGAGCTATACTTCCAGCCCCTCACTGACAAAGTCTAGGCAGGCCCTCTACCACTGAGCCACACCCCAACCCATATCTTTTCATTTCAGATGGTCCTTTGAACATGAAAATTTTTGGTTTTGATGAAATCTTGTTTTCTTTTGCTGTTTTTTGGCATCATATGTAAGAAGCCATTGCCTAACCCAAGGTCATGAACAGTTACCCCTATGTATTTTTGTTTTGTTTGCTTACTGGTAATGCTAGAGTCAAAAAGGAGTGCTTCATCCAGCCAACTTGAGGCTTGTATCTCATTTCCAGACCAGCAGAAAACCTTAAGACAAAAATTTGTAAAATAAGGAGGCTGAGCCTAGCGCAGTGGCTGTAATCCCAGCACTCTGGGAGGCAGAGGCAGGCAGATCTCTGTGAGTTTGAGGCAGCCTGGTCTACAAAGAGAGGCCAAGGCAGCCAAGGCTATATAGAGAAACCCTATCTCAAAAAAAATACAAATAAGGCTGGACTGTAACCACTAGAAAGGCAGTTGGACCTGGGAGAATGGAACCAATAAATGAGGCAGACCAAAGTCTCTTGCAACAGCAAACTTTATTCAAAGCCTCAGACAATAATTCCAGTTGCTCTCAACCTTCCTAATGTTGTGACCCTTTAATATAGTTCCTGATGTTGTGATGACCCCCAACCATAAAATTTTTATTACTACTTCATAATTGTAATTTTGCTACTGTTATGAACTATAATGTAGAGATCTGTGTTTTCCAATGGTCTTAGGCAAGCCCTGTGAAAGGATCTTTTGACTCCCTTCCCAAAGAAACCTCTGATTTATGCCCTGAGGATTGAGAACCCCTCAATTGTACCATGAAGGAAAAAAAAAAAAAAAAGGTCATGTGAGTAAAGTTATCATGAGTTCAAGCTACATACAATCACAAGGACAAACTACACAAGGCAAAAAACATGTTTTTCCATAGAGATATATAAAGAATAGTTAAAACATTTAATTTAATAACACCAGTAAGCAAACTCACTCCTAGCCACTACACATGGGGAGAACACAGGAACATCAAAACACATTCCAAGAACAATTCTATTAAGAAACTGAGGTTACAAGACCTGTTTTTTTAGAGTATTCTTACAAGCACTCAGTTCCTGGACCCTGTTCTGACACTGAACAAATGGTTTAGTGATTAAGAGCACCCGTTGCTCTTACAGAAGACCTAAGTTCAGTCGCCAGCAACACATGGTGGTCCACAACAATCAGTAACTCCAGTTCTAGGGGATCTGACACCCTCTTCTAAACTTCCTGGCCACCAGGTATGCATGTAGTACACATACATACATACATATATACATACAGGCAAAGCACTCATGTGCATAATAAATAAATTCTTTTTAAAAAAGAATTGGTGAAAGAAAATAGGTTTCATTACAACTACGGCCAGAATTAGTCAGGAAAAAGGGTCCTTGGTTTCTTTCTGCTTTCCCTTTAACAAAGCCACAGTTTTACAGAAAATAGGAAACAAGACTCAGGAAATATGCTCATGCAGATTTAGCTTTGAGACAGGTTGTCAGAACTGTAAAATGTCTTCCTGCAAGATGAGTTGCTATTACTCTGGAGTCAGCCTGTTCTCTCCCAAGCCCGGGATTCCTGGAGACAGTGTAATTCTCTCTGGATCTCTGCCATGCTATCATAGTTCAATGGAAGTGACTCTAGGTGTATATGGAGGGCAGGTCCAGGAGGTTAACTAAGGGTGAGGGACCTGAATGTGGGTAGTATCATCCCATAGGCTAAATGATGGGTAACGGGAATGAGTTCAGGGTGAGGTCAGGAAGTAGGGTCCGGTGATCTCTGTGAATTCATGGCCAGGCTGGTCTACACAAGAGCTCCTGGCCAGCTATGGCTACATAGTGAAATTCTGTCTCTCAAAAAACTTAACAGAAGTGTATGTGGGAGGAAAAGAGGGAGGAACCATTTTCTGAAGGTGTATCTCTTCTTATGCTTCCTTGTTGTCATGATTCTGATCAGCTTCTTTACTCCACACCTTCACCACAGAGGACTGAAACTTCAGAAACCATGAGCTAAAATAAGTATTTTTCTCAAGTATTTGTCTAAAATATGAAAAAAAGACAAAAGTTTAACAGAGTCAGCAAGCACTCTACCACTAGTCTATACTTCCAGTCCCCATGTTTTGTTTCTGTTCCTATGAGTTTTATAATTTTTGTTCTCTGAGTCAGGTCTTTGATTAATTTCAATTTTTATGTATACTATGAAAAATAGCATTTTTCTTTTCTGAAGATTTATTTACTTATTATTTATACATTATTCTGCAAGCATGTGTGCCTGCCAGGCAGCGGAGGGCATAGGATCTCATAATAGATGGCTATGAGCCACCAAGTGATTGCTGGGAATTGAACTCCGGACCTTTAAAAGAATAGCCAGTGCTCTTAACCTTTGATCCATCTCTCCAGCCCCCCCCATAGCATTTTTCAAAGTTTTGTAGTGTACAAGATTTCATTTTATTTTCATATCGTATATAATAATTTGCTCATCACCCCCACCCCATATTAGCCTGACCTGTCTCCCCTTTTTAAATGTTTTTGACTATAGTTCACAGCATGAATTGTTGTGGGGTTTTTTTTGAGCCAATTCAGTAAAGACTGTCACAAGTATATGATCCAAAATGACTGTATTGAAAAGCTATACTGTTCATCTAAGTGAGTCACTCTGATTATCTTTCCCTTATCTCCCTTTCCTTCCCCTCTTTAGGTTTTTCTATTATTATTATCTTTTCTTTATTTAGATAGACTCTCACATAGTCTCAACTGGTTTCAACCTTGCTATGTAGCCAAAAAAAGGCCTTGAAGTTTTGATCCTTCTGCTTCCATCTCCCAAATATGCTGGGATTACAGACATGTACTACCAAACAGTTTTAAAGTATTTCTGGAGCTGGAACCCAGAGTTTCCAATGTGCTCTACAAACACTCTACCACCGGGCTACAAGCAACCTTTTTTAGGCTCTGCATTTGTGTGTGTTGCTGTTGTTTGAAACAGGAACTCGTAAGTCCACACATTATGATGCCTGTCCTGTGCAGGCACCCCTCTGTTCTTCTGCCTCGAATTCCAATCTCTGACAGGGAAGAAAACCTATTGTGTCTCAGAGGTGCTAGAGTAGTCTTAGCACCTATGGCTCCTCCCAGCGCTTCTCACCCAGCCCCACAACTTCTCAACCTTGGGCTGGGCTTTAAATCTCTTCCCTCAGCTTGGGAGTCCTTACTTAATGCAGCCATTTTGTTTAACAGCTCTCTCGGCCTCTTGATCTGAGGGTCCACTCTTGATCTACTTGACCCTGCTCTCTCTTCTCTTCCTCTCTCACCCTCCTGCCATGGTTCAGTCTGGACCCTTCCATATGCGTCTGGCTGTTATCTCCCTCATATCTACAACAAATCCTGCTCTGCTACTATATCTAGGTGTGATGTCCTTATTTTTCAGTACCCTGTTACCCTCAAGTTCCATATCCAGTTCTCCTTGCACGTCATTTCCAAAGGTCTGCCCTGAAACTTCAGCCAGGTTTTCAGGCAACTGAAAGACTTGACAGACACCAAAGACAGTACTCCCAGACTAGATAGACCTGACTAGGGGCCAGTCACAGAGCCACACCCTAAGGCTGAGAGAATTCCCTGACTTCTTCCCTGGCATCCCAAAGTATCCCAGAGTTTACTAGCTACGAAAGAGACTTAAGGGTAACAAAGGTGTCACAAGTCATACTCTAGAGGACCAGGAAGTTCAAGCCTTCAGAGACATTTAACCTGATTTTGAGGTGTTATCTTAACACGTACATAGGGACCACAGCACAAAATGGCGCCGCATAGACAATTTCAGATGGATATCCGGCTTCCGCCTCTCCCTGGCTTCCAGGCCGGGTTGCCAGCCTCAGCGGGTACTTATTTGTATACACGGAAGAAACTGAGAAATTTCATTGGCCAGGGGTAGCGTCTATCACGGTAAAATGGCTTCCCTTTAGAAGCTCTCCGTTCCTACGCGCCCCACAAGCCCGGACCACGAACATCCCTCTCTATTGGTCGGGGCCCCTTCAGTCACGCGTTTAAGCCCCCCAAATCCCGCCTTCCATCGCCCCGCCCCGTCCCCTGGACGACCGTTAGTCTTTCTCGAGGCCGGAGCGCGCGCGCGTACCCCGAGCCGTAGCGGCGTCTCATTCAAACGGGCCAATCAGCGGCCGCGTGGCCCCGGGAGCTGCCGCCTTTCTCTCCCTCCGAGTGTTCCGCTGCTTGGTTCTCCCAGGCCGCCTCCTCAGCCGGCGTGAGCCCTCATTGGATGGCCCGCTCCACAAACTCGATTCGAACTTCTCCCCTTCTTCTGAGAAGAGCGGAGGAGAGCGCGCCGACCGTCAGGCAACGTGCGCGCTGACGTACGCGGTCGAGACGCGTCGCGGGGTGGGCGGGGCCTGCGAGTGGCTATAAAAGCACGGAGCTGCGCGCGCGGCCGGCTGAGTGCGGCCAGGCGGACGTAACATTGCGAGCGTTTTATAGCGGGCGTCGAAGTTAGTGGGGAGCGCAGCGGGGCCTCGGGGGCCCTCGCTAGGGCCACAGCGGCCGGAAGTTGGGCCCCCCGCCCCGGCCGACGGTTCGAGAAGTGCAGGAAGGGGGCCGGGGGGACCCGCCCCCGGCCGGCCGAAGTCATGGTGAGCGACGCGGGCGGCCTCAGGGGCGGTTGGGGACTCTGGTAAAGAAGGTGGCTGCGGCGTCCCAAGTGTTCCTAGCTAGCTTTCGAGTGCTTTGGTGACACGGCTGGGCGTCCGGAGCGAGCAATCGGTCCTAGGCCTTTACGGGAGGCCCTCGGAGCCTTGGGAAGGGATTTGGGCACCTTGCGGCCCGCCCGTGGGTGTTTTCAGGATCAAGACACCTCGCCGCCATCTCTCCCAGGTTTCTTTTTTATTTATTTCATTTCTTGTGGGTGGCGGTTCAAGACTAAGGGGAAGGGCACAGGCTTAGGCCTTAGGCCCACCTGGAACCACTAGTGGGCCCATAACGCGTCTTAAAGAGCCATCTTTGGGACGTTCGGGGTATGAGGAGCCACCGAGAAGCCCTTTCCGAGACAACTTCGCGTTTCCATGGACCGGTCAAATTTGGGGCAACGGCCAGAAACACATCCTGGGTTCAGTTTTCCAGCGATGGTTGACAGCCTGGTACTAGTAATGTCACCTTTCTGGTGTCTACCGAATCCTTAATCCCAGCTCTTTCGGGCTACTTATTCTCCTTTTCCATCCGTGCCCAGAACTCCAACGTAGAGAATCTGCCTCCCCACATCATCCGCCTAGTGTACAAGGAGGTGACAACACTAACAGCAGACCCACCTGATGGCATTAAAGTCTTCCCCAATGAGGAGGATCTCACGGACCTGCAAGTCACCATCGAGGGCCCTGGTGAGTGTAGGCACGAAAGGGAACGGCCACTTACTAGATTCTTCTGTCCAGTGGCTGTGGAACAAACTGAACTCAAAGGCAGCCTTTGAGGTGCTGTAGACAAACTGGGGGCAGATCAGTTACATCGTTGTGCCAGTGATGTACTCTGGGACACCACAAATATCAAGTATGCTTGCTTTTCCCTGGTCACTGAGCATGTACTAGAGCTCTGGCCTCGGTTTGGATTAAGGCTGTGAAGTGTGACCTGATGATGCTTATGAACTGAGTAGAAAAAGAAAGTCCACAAGGTGGTGGGAATATCATCAGCAATACCCACTATTCGACTGTCAAGTGTCTGGACTTTGGAGGCATTGAAGGGAAATAGGTGGTAATGAACTGATTGCGTGTGGTAAGCAAGGTATATATATATATATTTTTTCAGACCTCATTTGTTATCTGGACTTTTATTTTTGAGACAGGGTTTCTCTGTTTGAGTCCTAGCTGTTCTGGAACTCACTCTGTAGATCAGAGCAGCCTTGAACCACAGAGATCGACCTGCCTCTGCCTCCCAAGTGCAAGGATGAAAGGCGTGCACCATCACTGCCTGGCCTGTTATCTGGATTTCTACAAAGTCAGCTAAAATCAGTTTCAGAATCCTGAATTGTCTACTCTGTGGTGCTGAGATGTTAACTATTTTAGCAACCGCAGGGGGTAGACCATTTGTGATTACCAGATTTGACCCAAGCAAGTAGGTAAAAGAAAACACCTTCCATTGCCGAGCACAGTATAATCCCAGCACTCTAGGAGGCAGAGGCAGGTGGATCACTGAGATCAAGGCCAGCCTGGTCTACAAAATGAGTCCAGAACAGCTAAGGCTACACAGAAACCCTGTCTCGAAAGCCAAAAAAGAAGAAAACACGAGAGGGTGGGGAAAGGCTTGGGAAATGGCTTGCAGGAAAAGTTGGTGGGTTTGGGTCCCTTTGTCCTGAAGAGTGACAGTGGAGGTCCAGGAATCAAGGGTAGCGTGGGGTGTGGACTCTAGGACAAGGCATAAACAATACAGTCAAGGTGTAGAGAGATGTTGCCTGTAGTACCTGGGAAGCTGTTCTTTGTTGGTCTCAATTTCCCCAGCCTGGTGGGATTGACTGGCTGTCAGCCAGACCCAAGGAAACTGGTCTGTGAGATGTTGAAGGATTCTAGGATATCCTAAAGTAGTCCTTTTTCTCTGCTCTAGAGGGGACCCCTTATGCAGGAGGTCTGTTCCGCATGAAGCTCCTACTGGGCAAGGACTTCCCTGCTTCCCCACCCAAGGGCTACTTCCTGACTAAGATCTTCCACCCAAATGTGGGTCCCAATGGCGAGATCTGTGTCAATGTTCTCAAGAGGGACTGGACAGCTGAGCTGGGCATCCGACATGTGCTGCTGGTGAGTTTCAGCCTCTGTACTTTGTTTAGTTCCTAATAATCAACTGTGGAGTAGTAGGGGCAGAGTCAAAGTAAGGTTCCCAGCCTTTCCGAAAAATAGTGGAAGGGTTGGCCTATGTCACCAAGCACTCTTTTTGCACTGTTAAGGGATAGGCACCTCACCACATCCAACAGCTGTGGGTTTGTGTGGTAGTGTGGTTTTATGAAAGGTAGAAAGCAGTGTGGTTTTAGGGACTCTAATTTACATATCATAAATTTCAACAATTTTAAGTTTGTTTGCTTACTAGCCCAAATTGTCCTTGAACTTGTGATCCTCTGGCCATGGTTATTAGATCTTTTGACCCAAACAAGTAAGTAAATAGAGACTAAAACTCCCCAGAAGCTGGAGCTACCCACACCCCTCAGCTGGGTGGGTTTTGTTGTAGTAGGTATTTTGTTCATTCATTTGTTTTTTGTTTTCTTGGAAACGAGTCGTAGTGCAATCATCAATACTGCTTTCGCACCCCCCCAAGACTATTTTACAGTGTCCTGTCTACATGTATGCCTGCAGGCCAGAAGAGGGCACCAAATCTCATTGTAGATGGTTGTGAGCCACTATATGGTTGCTGGAATTGAACTCAGGACCTTTGAGCCATCTCTCCAGGCCCATATCAACATCAGAATTGTTTTCCTGTAGTAGTATTTTTTTAGCTTGGGGTTTACTCTGCCTGGGATATTTTTGTAATATTAGGAGATGAGCTTGGTTGTCAATACTGCAGCTGGCATCTTGTGAGGGGAGGCAGGGGACGCCATTCAGCATCTGTTGTGTACAGGACTGCCACAGTTCTGTGCTCACTGAGGTGTAGATGACTGGTCTAGGCCAGTGCTCCAACGTCCCTAAAGGCCACTTAAAGTAGTTGGGTCACCTGGTGCCTCCTTTGCCCCTCCCATAAACTTAATTTTTTTTTTCCTTTAATTTCTAATGAGCCTCTGGGGCTAATGGTAGTGAAGGTAGAGAATTGGGGTTTCCTTCAGGGCATCTGGAAAGGATTTAGCTTTAAGGTAAACAGCCTCCAACCTTTCATGCTTTGCCTTCCTCTAGATGTCATTTAAGCTTGGTTCTATCCCAAAGTACTGGGACTGCTAGCTGGCTATATTGGGTCTGCTTTTGGGCTTGTTAAAGAGGGAGCTGTATCAAGGACAGCCAGGCCTCCAGTTTGGAGTTGCAGTGGTAAAAGTTGAGGGAGAGATCCCCGTAATCCCTTTTCAGTGTAACACCTACTGATTCAGGTGCTCTGCATGTGCCACAGAAGCTCTTAGAAGCACCTGTAGCCATCCTAGCTCCAGACTGACTGTTTTATTCATGGAGCCTTCTGAACTAGCAATTTAGAATGAGCTTGATCGGATGGATATACATCATACTTAATGCCCGTGGTCAGTATTTTCCCTCTTGGGTGTAATATATTCCAATGGCTCTGAATTTGGTATTCCTGTTAAAGCCAATGGCCAATCCTAAGTGCCCTTGAGTAATTTCCGACCTGATTAGGACATCTGTTCACCTGTAGAAGCGTGGTTAAGCCACATTGGCTACAGGAAACTGGTAGGGCCAGTTAGGGAAAGGCCTCTAGCAATGTCAGGCTGTGCTTACTATGGCAATGATTCCTTGAAGGTAAAGTAGCCTTTGAGGGTGACATGCATGAGCTAATTTGGGAGTGAAAGGAAGAGCCAGTGTGGTGTCTGAGCTGGACAAGGCCCCCTGACTGTAGGTCCTTTCCCCACAGACCATCAAGTGCCTGCTGATCCACCCTAACCCAGAGTCTGCACTTAACGAGGAGGCAGGCCGCCTGCTTTTGGAGAACTACGAAGAGTATGCTGCCCGTGCCCGTCTGCTCACAGAAATCCATGGGGGTGCAGGTGGCACCAGCAGTGGGAGGGCTGAGGCTACTCGGGACCTGGCCAGTGGGGCTACAGCCTCCTCCACTGACCCTATGACCCCAGGGGTCCTAGGAGGAGCTGAGGGTCCCATGGCCAAAAAACATGCAGGTGAGCGAGATAAGAAGCTGGCAGCCAAGAAAAAGTTGGACAAGAAGCGGGCACTGAGACGACTGTAGTGGGCTCTTCTCTCTACTTACTCCCTTCTGTTCTGTCCTTCCCACTCTGTCTCTAAGTTATTTAAATTATGGCTGGGTGGGGGTGGGGGAGTGGGGGGCACCAGAACCTGGATTTGGTTTTTTAAATAAAAAATTGGAAAAGCCTGGAAGTATCTAGAACCTCTGCCCATATTGTGGCTTAGAGCAGCTGGCCTTTTTTTTGCCCCATTTCATCTTGTATCAGGGTTTGAGTCACTGTGAAGTGGGACTTAGCATCTAAACTGCAGCAGCAGGAACCTACTGTCTTCACTATTCCCTCTAGACCAGTGGTTCTAACTAACTTTGCTACTGTTGTGAATCATAATGTAAGTATTTTTGCAGATAAGTTTGCCAACAGGTCAAGACCCACAAGTTGAGAACTGCTGGTCTAGACAGTCTTAACTTGGTCCTAGTTTGGAGCAAAGTTACATCTTCTGTGTCACATCTCATTTGAGCTCTGGCCTTAATGACTTTTTTCCCAT